AGCGGGGAGCACAGACTTTTGCATAACGCATAAAGCATGTGCATAAGGAATTTCATTGGTCCATTTTCTTATGCATGAGTCAATGGACCAATCAAATTCTTTATGTATATGGTTTATGCGTTATGCAAAAGTCTGTGCTCCCCGCTTAAGACTCTGTTTGGTTATGTGTAAAGTTTTATGTACGTACAAATTTTGTTTGTTAAAGCCTTAATAAAGAGCGTGCTTTCACATTACAAGTACTTACCTCGCATAATCTTGAATTCGAAGAAGATATCCATTTATCACGTCAACAGTTTATTAACCACTTTTTTCTTCTTTCGGTTTCTGTTGGAAAGCGGAAAGTTTGAAACCCGGCTTCACTCGCCTATTCTTATAATTTAATGCACTACAACCGCCTATTTTATTTATTGTACTTAATTCTACTACCGTGTTTCGTATATACTGTCAGTGTACTGAAAATTTATAGTATATACTATAGATTTTCAGTACAGGCAGTACGGTATCTTTGCTTGGCTCGAATCTTTCCGCACTGACTAGGAGCCAATATGGCGGATGCATATTCCTGTATAATATAGTACCCTAGCTACATGGAATATATATTATTTACTTACCTATTCAATGAAGATCACTGATGACGAAAATATGAAATAAAACTGTAATATGAAACGAAAACTGTAGAAAGCATAGGGCATAGAAACGCAACAAATCCTGACGTCACTTTTTACTGGCGAGAATGGGAACACTTCTCCAGTCAGTAAGATGACGTCACCCTAGTAATATTATTTTACTGACTGGCAAAGGGACTATGGGAAGACAGCCGTGATATGAAAATGTGAAAAGTGATTAAATTCACCGAAAAACCGTAATAGGCCCTCTTATCTCTATTCTTCATGGGCCAATGGTAGGAAAATCATAAAAGAAAGCGCGGCTCTCATTGGCTGTCGCTAGTTAACGATAACAACAATTATCGAAAAAACGTTTAGAGAATCCTGCAACACGTGACCTTTTTTTGTCGCAGGAACGGCCAATTTCAGCAGCTCGTGAAAAGGCACCTTTAAGCAACGGAAGCAGCAACCAAAGGCGTTTTTTCGTTATACAACCATAAGCAACCGCGACTAAGGCTATCTTTGTCTTCTGATCCCTGAAAACAAAGATAGCCTTAATCGCGGTACCTTTTGGTAGCTTTTGGTTGGATAACGAAAAAACGCCTCAATCAGCGAGGCGATATGGCCAGTGGCGAAGAAAATATTTTTTTTACACCACTGCTCATATCGCCTTGCTGATTGGTTGCTACTTCCGCTACTTAATGTTTGACGGTTGCATGTAAATGTACCTTTAACAACACTTGTCATCAATTCGTCACATTGACGTGGACGTGGATGTCGTGGATTCATACAATTGATAACTGTTGATTATGCTTTGGACATACAGATAAGGCTCTCATTTATAAAGTTACGGTGATTCAAGGTTATTTCCAATCATGCAATCGTCAAGCATGTTACGAGACAATAAAAGAGTATTGAAGCAATTTTGCAACTGCAAGATCTTGCGTGACAGCAGGATTCAAACAGAGGATCTTTGGGTGCGAAATGGAAAGATTGTGAATCCAGAAAAGATTTTCTACGATGAAAAAATCAAACCAGATGTTAGAATAGACTGTGGCGGCGCTTTGATCTCACCGGGATATATAGATGTGCAGATTAATGGTATTTAATTAAATAAATTCTTTACACAACATATTTTACTCAAATAAAGTATATATTGTGCAAAAGATTTTTCACACATACATATTTCTTTACTTTTGTTAAATTAAAAATTAATAATTTGTATACATTATAAATTAGAACTTAAAAATTTTTGGTAAAATTTGATACAAAATATAGATCATAAAATGAGGAGCAATATAGGGTTAAACATATAGTAAATACAGATATTAGATCATTAATTTATTTATAAAAGCATAAAATGCAAGATTCTTATTAAATATTAGAAAATCTACATTAATTTGCATTAGATTGTAAATCTATATTAATTTTAACAACTTATCATTTCTTTTGCATTTGATAAAATATTTTTGGTAAATGTTAAAAAGACCCCTTTCACCTCAAATGTTGATAAAAAAAACACTAAATCAATGCATTTTCTTGTAAAAATGAAGAATCTACAAGAAAAAAGTGTCATTCTGCTTTGTGAAAAAAAATATTTTAAGTTAAAAATGCGCATTGCAGTATCTCGTGACTGTGACAGATTTCCTAACCTGAATAATCGTTAACTTTTATTTCTTTTCACAAAGCAGAATGACACTTTTTTTCTTGTAGATTCTTCATTTTTACAAGAAAACGCATCAATTCAGTGTATTTTTATCAACATTTGAGATGGAGGCGGTCTTCTTAACATTTATCAAATTTTCTAATATCTAATAAGAATCTTGCAATTTTTTTGCTTTTATAAATAAATCAATGATCTAATTAAATCATGAGAATAAGCCATTAACGGTCAAGCTAGATCTTGGAAACTTCTAATATAATTTTCGTGTAAATTTATATATTACGTTTGTAGATTTCTAAATATGTGCCAAAATTTTTTTCAAATTTATAATGCAACTAATAAACTACCGCAGTACTATCATGAGTTAAATTGACTAACAATCTAACAATTTTGATATACATTGCATCTTGGATCTTAATAATATGTTGAATGACATATTAAAATCTATGAATGACATATTAAAAATCTGTAAATAATTTAATTACATTGCGAAAAATATTACCTTGGCTGGGAGTCAAACCTGGATCGCTTGCTTTACACGCAAGTGTCCTAGCCAATTAGACTACAATGAACTAATGTCTACATTTATTTGTCAGGAGGATTTGGTATAGATTTTTCATGTAATATTGATAATGTGGAAGAAGGCATTGCTAAAGTAGCAAAGGGATTGTTAGAACATGGAGTAACATCCTTTTGCCCTACATTGGTTACATCTCCTACTGAGATATATCACAAAATCTTACCAAGAATAAAGAAACAAAATGGAGGTAGTCATGGTGCTGGCGTGCTAGGTGTTCATATAGAAGGACCATTTATTAGTCCAAACAAGAAAGGTGCCCATCCAGAACATTATATCAGAAAATTTGAACAGGTAATAGTTTAATTTATTCTGTAATTTTTAGTAAATTATAAAATAATCAATATATTTTATGTTAAAAATTTATATATATTTTTTCTAATAGGGATTTAAATCAGTAACTGATATGTATGGTGATCTAGACAATGTGTGCATGTTTACGTTAGCACCTGAGATATCGAATGCTACATCTGTTATTGAAGAGTTATGTAGAAGAAATATTAAAGTATCTCTTGGTAAGTTAAAATTTTAATATTCTCAATGTTAATATACTTTCATGATATAATTAAATGCAATTGTTCTTATTTTGGAATTCTATATTTCAATTTTTATAATTTATATATATTGAATCTCGTAGATTGGTATAAAGTTCTTTAAATCAATATGTATACCAATTTATATATTCTAGGACATTCTGTAGCAAATTTAAATGAAGGAGAAAAAGCAGTTAAACATGGAGCATCGTTTATCACTCATCTATTCAATGCCATGTTGCCTGTGAGTTGGAAAGATTTAGAATATGTTCAAAAATGACTTGTGTACAAGGAATGAAAGTAATCATTTCTCAATCTTTTAAACGCTGGATATGATTTTGTTTATCAAATAATTTTATTACATTTTTTTAGAATTTATAGTTAACGTTGCAAGAAAGACTTATTTTAACATATTTTATCATATTATAACTATAATATTTGTTGGAGAAGTTTTATTGCAATCAAAATAAAATATATTGTGATTATTTTTAGTTTAAAGAAATTGTATCAATTATGGTTAATAAGATATTAAATTAACGTAAGACTTATTACATACATATTATTGCGACTGTATTATTAAAAATTAATCAAAAATATTTTTTAATTATATTATTCAAATTTGTTAGGATGCCGATTAATCTGATAAATATTGTTCTAATAAAAAAATTTATATGATAAATTAGTCTTTTTTGTGACTTTAATCTTAATTTTTTATTTAATTATGATAATTTGATAAACGGAATTATATTCAGCGTAGAGAAAACTAAAATTTAATTTAATTTGTTGTACGCTGGTCTAACAATGTGTGGGGAAAAATAAGTAAGGGGAAGTTATTTCAAATTATTAGAGTTGCGTTTTAAAGACCGGTTGTGTTCGGCGCGCAATTTGGGGGAACTTTTCAACGTATATTACTTGAAAATATTGCGAAGAATATTACTACGTCGACTCGCCATCAGAGGTCTATGGATATTCGTAAAGTTTCTCGCAAGTACTGAAATACGCGCATATCTGTATATATAGAATCTCGATTTAAGAACTAAAACAGGCGTCTAAGGTAGGCTCCCACTACATTACCTTACTGATGAGTCCAGTAGTGGAAGCCGGGACGAAACGCCAACTTGTGATATTCTTCGCAATATACTAAATTAATTTTAAGAATTCGGTTGTGGCTGTTGAGGACTCTGTGAAGTCGAAACTGTCCGTATATACCGGGGTATTATAATAAATTTATATATATTTCTAACATCTAGTATAAGCTCAATTGTTCTAGACCTGGGAGGTATATTAA